AATGCTAGGATCCTAGGTTTTTCATTAAATCCCACCAGGATTCGCTCTCATCAACTTTCCAAAGCTCTCATGAAACTTTCCAAGTACATCTTGATGAGCTTTTTCGAATTGACTCCTTTAGAGTTCTTTTCCATGCTTTTATTGCTTGGAAAATTGATATAGAATGCTAGAATCCTAGGTTTTTCCCAAAACGCCCCAGGATTCGCTCTCATCAACTTTCCAAAGCTCTCATGAAACTTTCTAAGTAGATCTTGATGAGCTCTTTCGAATTGAGTCCTTTAGAGTTCTTTTCCATGCTTTCATTGCCTGGAAAATCGCTATAGAATGCTAGAATCCTAGGTTTTTACCAGGTTGATCTGTTCGTTGTTTAAATGTAGGTTGCATTGTTCGAGTTCTCTTGAAGTTACCATTAATTCTGTTTTCTTCACGTTTATCTTCATGTCATAGGTTGTGCATACTTCTTGTAATCTATTGAGAGCACTTTGTAGATCTGTTGTTGATTGTGCAAACCGAGCAATGTCGTCGGCGAAGAGAAGGGAGTCCACTTTTACATCACCAATGTTGATACAGGTTGGGTTGATACTTGTTCGAGACACCTTGTCCATAAATATCGTAAATAATAACGGAGATAATACGCATCCTCGTCGAAGTCCAACTTTCACCTGAAAATGTTCTGATTTGTTACCATTTATTCGAACAGAGCTTCTACAGTTGTTGTATAAGGCTTGAATTGATGATAGTAGGTGACCACGTATTCCATATTCTTGTAATATCTTCCAGAGTATTTCACGTGGTACTCGATCGTATGCTTTTTCTAAGTCGATGAACAATGTGTAGACAAGCTTGGCGAATTCCCATGACTTTTCTAATATTTGTTGCAGCGTGAATATTTGATCGGTTGTTCCTCTTCTTGCGCGGAAACCACATTGTGTCTCTTGAATGTGCGGTTCAACTATATCTCGACATCTACGTTCGATAATTCTGGTGAAAACTTTGCCTGGGAGACTTAACAGAGTGATTCCTCTATAATTTGAACACTCTTTCTGATCTCCTTTCTTGAAGATTGGAACCACAATATCGGTCTGCCATTCCAGTGGGGCTTTACCAGTTGTCCAAGCCACACGGCAGATTCGAGTAAGCCAATCTACACCACCAGATTTGAGAGATTTTAGCATCTCTGGTCTGATTTCGTCCACTCCTGCTGCTTTACCTGATTTAAGTGATTGAATGGCTGTTGTAACTTCAGTTGTTGATATGGTGTTGGATTCGTTGTCGGTTGGTTCATTTAATTTGATATATTTTGCTGATGTTGGGTTGTATAATTCTGCAAAATATTTTTTCCATCGATTTAAAATATCTTCTTCTCGTGTCAAAAGGCGACCTGTCATGTCTTTTATTGAACGAGTTGGTTTCTGTTCACCTTTATGAAGTCGTCGAATGGTTTGCCAGAACAATTTGTTTGCCGAGTGATTATTATGTTCTAGTTGATGACCAAACTGTTCCCATGATTTTGATTTTGCCTCAGAGACAATTTTCTTCACCTTTTCTCGTATTTGTTTATAATTCTGCCCGTTTTCAGTTGTTTGCCGTTGTATCCACTTGTGGTAAGCTATTTTCTTTTCACGGACGACGTTGCGAATTTCTTCAGTCCACCATGCTGTTTTCTTCTGTCCAGATTGAATGCCAACTCGCTTCATTTCACATGTAGTGGTTGCAGCGTCGAATAATGCCGTTTTAAACAATTTTCATTCCGATTCAATGTCAGTCTGTGTTGGTGATAGTTGAGCATATCACTGGTCGACTTTACTTGCAAATTTTTGACTGGTTTCTTCATTAGCCAATGCTTCTCATCTTATTCTGAATGTTTTCTTCCGCTTGATTCTTCGTGCTGGGTCTGTCGTTGATAATTCTAAAATAGAAACACCGAGATGGTGGTCCGTTGACAGTTCAGCACCACGTTTGACCCGTACATCCATCACTGTGCGACGTAAATTGCCGGATACAATGATGGAGTCAATAAGTGATCGCTGTACTATTGAATTACCTGTCTTATACCATGTGTACTTATGTATGTCTTTGTGTTGGAAAAATGTATTCATTATCGACAAACTGCCGTTTGCACAAAAATCAAGTAGTTGTCTTCCTTGTTGGTTTAAATCTGTATCATCATTTCGTCCAATGACTTCGTTCCAAGTTTGTGAATCATTACCAACGTGTGCGTTGAAATCTACTATTAATAATACAGAATCTGTTTTTGAGACACTTTCCATAGCTACCAGAACCATGTCAAGGAAAGTCTCATAGTCTGCTTCAATGTTTGGGGCATATACTTCTATAATTGCTAATTTTGTTTTCTTCAGTTGGAGTCTGATGAGAAAGACTCTTTCGTTGACTGGTTTCCAATCCAGAACTGTATCGGCTCGTATGGGATGCAGAAGTATTGCTAATCCTGCTTGTGCATGCGTTGTGGCGTCGACACCTGAATAAAATAATTGCCATTCATTGTTCAATGCTAATGTTCCTTTGCCTTTTCGTTTCGTTGACGATATTCCAAGTATATCCAATTGGTATTTCTTCGCTTCTTCAACTAGTTCAATTTCCTTAACAGTGAGTGACGTTACATTCCATGTGCCAATGTTCAATCGGCACTGATGTTGATGGTTTCGATGTTTGAGTCTACTGAACGTGCCGTTTAGGCATCGCGCCACCCCCTTATGTCTTCTAGGACAGTTGGCGAGACCATCGCTAGATGTTGCTTGATGTTGAGCGGTTGATTGTTTGTTTGGTTCCCGTAACTTTTTTCGAGGTGATCCCGGTCGATCTACGGGTACCAGTGATCGATCGACCACCAGAAGCATGCCTCGGTATCCCACATCCGGAGAAGGTACAAGTATCATTTGTTGTGTACATCGTGAGAGGTTTGCAGAGGCTCGTTTGCGTTATCCAAGGAACACCGCGTGGAGGTTAGCTTGACTTATTTCCCTGAAAACATCATATTTTATTTTATGTATTACACTAGTGTAATCTTTGGATAGAAAGCCTAATTGTACATCAATTAAATTTAAATATTGCTTTAGTTTATCACACTGAAATTCACTTTCTCTTATACTAAGATCTGTACTTTATATTAATTTATTTAATGTCAATAAATGCAGTAGAACACCAACTAAATATATTCGTAATAATTCATTCGTCAATTTTTCACCTAATATATATAATAGCAGAGCGAAAAGTTTAATAGAATCGCTGTATTGATAATTATCTTTTGATCTTGACAAATTATTTGTTGTATTATTGATGAATCACGTGAAAAAAATAAATGTTTACTTTTTTACTATTCTTTTTAATATTCATGTTTTCATTTTGTTCATGATAATTATTTGACCATTCAACAAAGGGTTATTATTTAATAGTTCATTATATATTTGTCTTGAATTATTATTGCTATCATCGCTATTATTTAATAATGTTTGCTGTTTTGTTTTTAATAATGTTATCAAATATGTTGAACTATTTTTTTATACCAGCTTTGACCACTCATTCACCATTTATTTTAAAGCATAATTTTCTTTTAATTTCAATTAAATTATATGATATATATTTAAATATTTCAAATATATCATCCGTATTCAACAATGCTTGTGTTGAATTGATGGATTGAATTTTAAGAATATTATATAATGATTTCTCCGCTATATATTGTACAAATTTAAAAAATTATTCACCTTTCAATGTCAAAATATGGTCTGATAATAGCGATAAAATGCACATATTGCTGTTATTCATTGAAAAAGAAAACTTACGGTAAAATATATATAAATTTAAAATTAGCAAAAAACGTCTAAAGGATAGAGCAGTACGGAAAAGTTAAGATTATTAGATTGCATAAGTTTATTCCGATATCTAGTTCAAATAAATGAACTACATACAAGGAGGAAAGTTCAGGCACCCAGCACCTTAGCACCTCAGCATCTATTCGGCACCTAGTCAGCATCTACAGCACCTATTTGACACCTTTATCGAATTTACTATGAGCACCTTCGGTACCTTCAGCACCTTCAAACACTTCTCCACTATCTTGAGTAGTTTTTCAGCACCTTCAAACACTTCTCCACTATCTTGAGTAATTTTTCAGCACCTTGTGAAAAAATTTAAAGGGCAGAGCGCAGGTACTAAATTTTATCCCAAGGTGCTGATAAAGTACTTAAGATAGTGGAAAAATGTTTGAAGGTGCTGAAGGTGCTGAAGGTGCTGAAGGTGCCGAAGGTGCTCATAGTAGATTCGATAAAGGTGTCGAGCAGGTGTTGTAGGTGCTGACTGGGTACCGAAGATGCCGAACAGGTGCTTAGGTGCTGAGCAGGTGCTGAGGTGTCATGGTGCTGGGTGCCTGCACTTACCCCCTTGACTAAATATCACTACTAAGGGTTGAAAGTTACCGTTTCCAGACGGTTACCTGGGAACAGTAACGGTAACTTCCCACCCCTAAGCACTACTACTCGAAGAAACTACGTATTTGTTGGCAATGAGAATAAGATAGGTGATCGGAAGCATGTGTAGTAGGTCAAATGTGTAGTAAATGATGGTGAGTGTCGTCTTGAGACGATATTCTCTGGATGACACTTGAAATCAATTAGTTAATTTACTCACTTACATTTGGTTATAGATATTTTTTTTAATTCAATATAAAAGTTTCTGATGAACATTTTGGGTATTGTTAAAACAACGTATGCTTTTGAAACAAACCAATTACCAAAGGATGTATTATCGTTTACTAATGAGAACTTTTTTGGCTTTGTTAAAGAAATATTAGGTAAAACAGCAGCTGATCTTTTGCAGATACAAGCAATAAATGATGTACCATAATTTTTATTAAGTTATGATACATACGTTGTTATAGAACTCGATAAATTAAGACAAAGTGTTTCATTTTCTCATCAAGATTATATATAGTGTTAAGCTTGGTAATAAAATGAATTCAAATATTTAAAAAGATTGTTATTATTAAAGCTAGAAGAAAATGGCAAAAAAAACCAAGACCAAACCAAATGCAAACAAAATTTAATTCAACAGCATCCGTATTGAGAAAAGAAAATCATGTTGAATTCATATATATTTTAATAAAGAAATGGACTGAAGACACCAAAGAAAATTTGAATTTTGATGACTTACAATAAAAACCAGATACTGATTATACACTAAAATCAAATAGCTAATAATAATAATAATAATCTTGAAGGTTCAATAAGACTTATATGTACTATTGAAATGAAATTGAGAAAAAAAGATGGTGAATTTGAAATCAGTAATGGTTACAGATATTAAACATCTTTAATATGTTCTATTATAAGAGAGAAAAAAAGAGTCATAGTCAATAGCATCACATGTTGCATAATATTATCAATAATAACAATTATGATATTGGAAACAATGAGAATTATCAAACGACAGCTTCTTTACCAGAAAACCTCAACAAACACTATCACAAACATTTCTCAATGTACCAAAATCTTCATTGCATCGAGCAAATGTATCATCATCGTCAACAACAAAAGATACTAACCGTATTTCATCGAACTTAACCTCAACATATCCACTACAATTATCTTCAGCAGCACAAAGACAAAAAAACAACATTCTTTCTGTTAATTATTTATATATGAATATATACTTCTTCTCTGTAGTTCAATATTTCGTGTAAAAAAGCTTGTTAGCGCAGATCCTTTGAAGCTAAAATGTGGAACTCACGTATATCTTCCAGTTTTGCTATCGTAATACATCATCTGTAAATTGAAAGCTTTCTCATCGACTACAGGTGTTTTTTGTAAATCACTACTGACAAGAAAAATAATTGATTATTTAATTTCTACATTTAAAATTGAAACTTTTCTTCGTTTATGCGTGCCCGATTATTTTTTATTATTGTTGCTATACACACATTAATAATCATTTTTCTTTGTTAGTTTTTATTTGAAATTACTTTTTTTTTCATCATCGATTATTTCATCAATAAGACTATTAGAATAATGCAGTTTCTATCTGTGAGTCACTCTCATCACACTATTATATATCTCACCTAAGTCATAAATGGTGATATTATATACGTGTGACACTGATACAAAGATCGAATCATGTTTTTTATATCGATTATACCATCGCTATGACCGATCAATACCTATTATTACTCTCTATTGTTGATTTTTTACGTGTAAATTTAAATTCTAAAAAAGAATCAGTGATTATATTATTAGGAACTCTAATAAACTTATATTAGTTTTCCCAAGATTTATGAAAACATTGAAATATTGTCTAGCAGTCAAACTGATATTCTTCATACTGTTCAACTCTCTTTTCATTGTTGAATAAAGTTGAAGTTTTTTATGCGTGGTTGCTAATGTCTGTAATGGGAGGAGGGGGGGGGGGGAGGGAGCCGCCAACCTTCGACTTAAAACTTACACTCACTGTTTTCTTCGAAAACATAGGTGAGATTCACAAAAATAACTAACATTAATTTTTCTATTGTAAGTTGATTAATATCCTAAGAAAGTCATTTTTCCTATAGCTTGATTTATATTGGTCCCTGGTCAACCAATAGGGCTTCGAGCCAAGTGGCGTACGGATTTGGGTTCTCCATCCCAGAAAACTTCGAATTATCATCTCTGTGATCGGAAGATAGATCTCTAATTAGAGATGAATTAGAGCGTGAACAAAAACAGAACCAATTTCCGTTTATTTATCTTTGCAATAGGTAAGCTAGTCTTCTTCTTTCTTTATGTTTCATATACCAATTTCTAGCTGGTGAAATTCTCTATCAGATGATGTAAAATAATTGGGATTTTATTTGATTATGATAGGAAAAGATGTTTACGAAAGCCGGAATGAGTCGATTTCCGCATAGGAAGGTACAGGGGAAAATGACTATTTTTGCAATAACTCAGAAACACCTCTGTCAATTCTTCTCATCTTCTAACTTGGCCGGAATATTGCCGGGACTAAACTGTGTAGAAAATATCATTGTAATCTGCCTCTCTTTTCAAAAGTTATCGTGTAAACGGACGTATGGATACACCGACCGATTCTAGAGTGTACTCACATTTTAAGTACACAAAAGCATAGATTCATTTTCCTGCTATAGGTTGATTTAGATATCTAAATCGTGTAATGAGTTTCATTTCCTCAAAATAAAATAAATCTGTTGATAATTTTATTATAAATTGATGCAAATATCAAAGTGAGAGTGATTTTGGTCGTACATTTGAACTAAATCTATTTGATAGTGCGAACTTTAGTCGTGACATTCATATGTTTTATTGTTAATTTTTTAATATATTTTTGACTGAACTTAGCCTATCCATTTATCTATAATAGATTGATTCAAATATCGAAATAATAGAATGAACTCGATTTCTTCAAACAGAATAAGTCTGCTTATAGTTGTATTTCCGGTTGACTTAAATATTATAAAATGAGAGTAAATCTGATTTTATCTAATAATCTATACCTGTTGTGGAACTCACGTATGTTTTCGAAGAAAATAGTGAGTGTAAGTTTTCAGTTCGAGGTTCGCGGCTCTCCCTCCACCACCCTGCGCCCCACCCTGCCCCGCGCCGCCGCCCCCCCCT